CCACACTCCACACATCGATCCGGTCATGCAAGCGTTCAGACCAATAGGACAGGGGGAGAAGTATGCGTGCACAGTGGCGTCGAAAAAGATATCAAGAATGAGAGGATTATAGTTCCAATCACGCCCGCCAAAACAAAAATTACAGTTACACGCAAGATTAAGGCGCGAAAATGTCAGAGCACAGATCCTGACGCGGCAAAGCGTGTGCAAGCAAGAAGCGTCGTGCAGCAAAATTGTGACATACCTAACTTCCTAGCCTAAATCCTAATTACAAAAAGCAATTCCAAGAGATGAAAATTCCGAGAGCCCGCGGGGGCTCGACATCAGTTGAAAATTCAAACGGATTTTCCCGCGCGATGGTCGCACCAAAATTCTCATTTCCCACAGCAGAACAAGAAAGAAGCTATGGCAACAATTATCCTTCACGCTCGCTAAGGTGCGATCAACTACCAACCGTCATAGGAGTATCCCGGCCTCGATTCCGAAAAAAACAAGAAAAGCAAGGGCACCCATGCAATCCAACGGCCCATCCCGATTCGACCCCCGAAGTAGCCTTCGCGCGGTCGCAGAAAACAGTTCGTCACACTGTCCTTCCTAATTAGACGACCGAAATCAAGAGTCTGGAAGGGTATACAGTATATTACTTGGAAGAAGGTATACCCTGGCCGGCTGAGGCAGCCAGAAACCAAGAAGGAAATTGCCAACCAGCTCCTCTTTGAAAATTCTCACATTCCCCCGGCTTCATTGGAAGGGTGGGGCGCAGGCTAGCAGATGATCTTACTGTCGCATGCAAGAACACAGTAGACTCTTTCTTAGGACTTAGGAAGGTACTGGATAATATATATTGTGAACTCTCGGAAGCGTCAATTAATTGGAATAAATCGGTCTTCGTTCTACCGGTGCCATTCACTATCTGCGTAGACTGGGGTCTACGGCAGATCCCTACGAACTGCTCCGGTCAGTTTCTGGGGGTCCAAGTGTCCCTTGTGGATTGCTCAAGGACCCAAGATGATCTCCTAATGGAAAAGGTTACAACACCCATTATGGGCTGGGCCAGAAACTTCAAGCTTTCTATTTTTGGAAGGGCCCTAGTCCTTACATCCACTGCCTTCTCAGTGCTTTGGTTCCCGCTAACAGTGCATCTGCTTGGTGATGAGGCATATGCAAGAATTAAGGAGGTCGCAGGGAAGCTTCAGTGACGGATCACCAGGGCTACTTAGTAAAGGTAGCCTGGGAAACTGTGGCCTTTCCGCGGGATCAGGGCAGTCTAGGTCTGTTAGACCCACGCCAACAGAACTTGGCCCTACTGATTAAGTGGCCTATTATGGCAATGTTTGAAGCAAGGGGCAAATTCTGGACAATGATGGCAGAACACATGCTTATGCAAGAGTGGTCCTTGTCCCAACCGGAGCATGTATGGTTGTGCCTGCTAATTGGTTCATACAGCCAAAGGCAGCTGAAGTCTAGGATATGGAGAAACATATTACACGCATTGAGGAGGCTGTTGCCTCAGCAACTGTCTGAGCCCAGTACCAGATCCCAGATTTTGAACCAAATCTTTTTTGAGAACCCCTTTATCGAAGGCATCAATGGCTACAGTTTTATGGTTGACGGTTCCCTGGGTTCTTTTGGGAGAGCATGGGTGGAAAAGGGCGTGATTCAACTCAGAGATCTCTGGGATTTAACAGTGAATGACTGTGCCTCATACGAGTTCATGAGAGGACGGCTTCCTCGCCTCCACAACGTGCACGCCCACTTGCAGGAAGTAAAGGAGGCAATCCCGCCCCATTGGACCTGTATCCTACGAACAGGAGATGCACCGTTGGCAGGGTCATGGCTCCAGGGTCCAATACACAGGGATGAGTGTTGGAAGATCTTGGGCCCAGATTTGAGAGTAGGTATCAGGGCAGTGGGCACAACGCTGGAAGGTTCAGATATGGAAAGGAAAGGGGCGGTGCTTGAAGCTGGAGGAGGAGTCTGTAATACCTCCCACAAACGGGTGGCAGGAAGTGAGGGTGTTGGAGACACAGACGAAAGGCAGCCCAATCTGTGTTCTGCTTCCTTATGTAGTTGAGGATCTCAGAATAGAGCCGTTGCTTGTGGGATGGAAACATCCTTCCTCGCGGAATTCTGATACCCCCTTGATCAAGTACAAACCCAAATCAGGAGTCTCCATATTGAGAGCACGAAAAAGAAGAAGAAACCGGTCGTCACGGCAAAAAAAAAACTATTGGATTTACAAGCCTCAGCAGTGGAAGAAGCTGATTTAGTGAAGTTATGGAAGGCTTTGAAGAAAGTGCCATCTCAAAAAAATGCAGGACTGTTGTGGCTTCAGTCACTACAAGTCACCCCATCAGCAATGTGTCTGACCTCAAGGAGAATGGAAGTGTCAGACAACTGTGTTCGCTGCAAATGGGCATGGGAGACTACTCCCCATCTGTGGCTGCACTGCCCAACATCAGTTTGGATCTGGGAATGGTGGAAAGAACGATGGAGGGAAAGGGGCCTGTTGCCCTCAGTATGGTCTGACGAATTTATCTTGCATGGAAAATCTATGGAGAAAGGCTCAGCCTACCCTGGTCCTTACTACTTGGCCCTGGTATGTAGAGGAATAATCATGAAGGCAATACGGCATAGCAGACTTTTTACGGAGCTTCAAGTTAGTTTTTTTGGGAGGATTATTGGTGATTGGATTATGATGGGACACTGGACCCGGTTTCCAGCATAGCGTACCCCGGGTAACGGCCCCAGTTCTTCCGGGTTGTTTGTGGGGAACTGGGGCCTCAAAGTGACAGGGCGTCAAAAAAAAAAAAACGGGGGGGTCCTGCACAAGACCCTGGAAGGGTGGCCCGCGAAAAATCCAGCGGCCCCTGTGTGCAGGTTCGTCGATGCGGGGTCGCAGGGAGGAGGGTCTGGAACAGTGGAAAAATATATAAAAAAATATTTGACCCCTGCGGGGGCGGCCCAACGTGGGTTGGATGAGGGCATGTATGGGGCGGGCCGTGCGGCCAGGCCGGGTCGAAGCTAAACGGGGCTGCAGATGGCAGACCCCAGGCGGATCAGGGCCTCACCCACTGAAAGGTAGGCGTCGGTTTCATTACTGAGGGCGATGACAATTCGTCGCTTATTTTAAAACAACACATTCATGGCAATCATAAGTCAGACCCTGTTTGGCATACCAATGTCAAAACACATTGGAAATCAATCACAATGCGGCGAACCACAAGTTTCAAACAATGACATGTTAAACAGGCAAGTGTGTCATAGTGTGTGTTCACTCATGAGACTGATAGACATTCATTAGCACATCATTTATGTAAGAACACATTCATTAGCACATCATCCCTAGGTCGCATCTGAAATTAACAGCACATTCATAATGGAGGCATCCATGACATGCAGGTGCGTGGCATCGGAGGAGCACATAATTTTCAACATTCACGACAACAGAGCAGAAAACAATCACCAAACAACAGCGACTCAGATGCAATACCAATGTTGGCTGAGGAAGAACAAGAGCAAATATATGACAAAGCATTTCAATGGAAATGCGTATGTACAAGGCTGAAGCCAAAAACTGGACCCGTAGTCTCTACTCTACAACCGAGTAGCAAAAAAAAACTGGACCCATCGTCTCTGCTACACAACAGAGTACCCAAAAAAAAATGGACCCGTCGACGGGCGTCGTCTCTACTGTACAACCGAGTAGCAAAAAAAAAAAAAAAAAAAANAAAAAAAAAAAAAACTAATGTCCACATACTATCGTCGTCTCCATGGAACAACATCAACATAAATATGCTACAACCCTGCCGACAAAGCGTCCAAGCTGTACAGCCACGCGAAAAAAAAAAAAAAAACTAATGAAAAAAAAAAAAAACACCACGGACGTCGTCATCTCCCACCAGAGCGCGCGTGGCCTCTCCCGGAAGAGTGGCGGCCATCCGATCCTCCCCGGCGCCCTCCTCTCCCTCCGGCACCTGTGTCCCGTGCCCCACTGACGTATGCCGCCTGTGCTGCAGCGGCGGCCGCGGCCACCTGTGCCCTGTGTCTGCGGGCTGCAGTCTCGATCGGCTCGGACTCAGTGTCTGCGTCCTCGTCCTCCTCCGCCTGTGTAGCAATCC